GTGCTTTTCAGAAACGAGGCTAAAATTAGCTCAGTTTAGAGAAATACAGCAGCTGCATTTAAAGAATAGCTGGAGGAAATATTTTGCTTTCTCCCATAGCGTGGAGCTATGGTTACCCCATATGAAGTATTCATTGGTTTCATCCGCTCCAGCATAGTTGTGTCATGCTGCTGTCAGTGACAAGAAGGTGGCAGTCAAGGCTCTGTTTACTTTAGCTCCATCAGTTCCTAAAGCAAATCTCTCTCTGCCTCCTATGGGAAGGGGGCACCCTTGATGGACTCATGAGGCCTTCTACAGGACCCAGGAAAGCTACGGCCATTTCCGCTGTCCAGGGAGAAGAGAGCTGTGAAGGGACACCGTGGAGCTGAGGTGAGCAGGTCAGGAAGGTGGCCAGTTGATGTACAAACAACATGGGGTTGGTGGGTCCTGTAGCCCAAAGCAACACAAAGATAGGAGCAGCAGGTTGCATCCACCAATGTACCACCCACCATGGAATGGCTTTGCTACTGTTACGACTTAAGCTCTGTCCTCTCTGAATGTGCAGTAGCGCCCTTTCACTGAATCAAGTATTAGTTTAGATATCTAAACTACCAAGAAAACGATGCAAAACCTCTGGATGCATTCATCCCACATCTCAACTCAGTGCGAGTTCTTTAGGGGATGGTTTTGCTACAACTGAAATGTGCTGCCACACCAAAGATTTCAGCCCTAATGATAGAGTTGTATTTAGTTCCTGTAACCATAAGCAACTAATACTTCCAGCAAAAATTGAATCCCATACTTAGAATGTGCATTACTTTGTTAGACCAGTACTTGCTCAACACAAGGCTTTGTTTTATTCTAACAGCCAGTGACTCGGCAGCATTTGTCTGCTTTTTCCAGTTAAGTAGCTAAGGATATTCTGAGAGCAATGAGGAGGTGAATCTGGAGGCTACAAAAGTGGGGGGAACTTGGTAAATTGTTACCCAAATGTTCACTTTCTCTTCTTATGGCTGAGCGTACGATGCTTCAAAATTTCAGAGTTTAAAGGACAATATTTTTACCCCTCTTAGGTATTCCATCGTCAGGTTTATCTATTAATGCTTTTAGTGTTAGAATTAACCAATGATGCCCAAAGCACAATAATGTCTTAATAATGTAAGTGCCTTGAGT